TACGAACGAATGCAACCGGTTGGAGCGACAAGTTACCATAGCAACGAAGCGCCAAACGGTCGTTTCGTTCGTGTTCGTTCGCAACGCAAGGAGTTGAGCCGGGCTGAACTTTTTCGTTACGTTCGGGAACGACGGGAGCGACAGACCAATCACAGGTCGAGGAGCTCGGTCGCGCGCGTTGCATGCCGGTCGTTCCAGGCTCCTTCTATGTGCAAACATGGCGTCGGTGGTGATCGTCGGCAGGACGGTGTGGTGAAGGCTCATCGTTCCCCGTAAAAGGGCTATCCTTGACTGTGAATTTTCGTTGTGTGTCGTTAGGATAACCCAGCACGTACTAGAAGGGAAGCTCCACCTACTTGTGCGGCGATCTCGTGGCGGCACTCTCAAGACAGCAGAAACGCCCGTGCCGTCGTGTTTGTTTACTTCGACTACAGTGGTGCTTTCTTAGCATTTGTATCTTCAAACATCACCGGGATTTCTTTTTTGGCGCATTCCTTGCGTGTGCTCAAGTTCAAGGTATTACTGGTGCGTACCGTACAAAGGATGCGAATTTTTTACTCGTTTTCATCGCCCGAAAAAGGTGATTAGTGTTAGCAATCCTGAACGCTCGCATCGTCTGTCAAATTATATTTCTACGTTGCTATATCGTTGCTAAGATTACATCGTGTATTATAATCGTAAAAAAGGCGTGTGGCGAGATTTGTACTGTTGGCAAAGTCGTGTATTAAAGTCGTGATCGTCCAAGACGGCGTACTGCATCTTTTTCTTTTTTTTAATGCACTACCCTGCAAGCGTATCCTGAAATAAAGAGTAATAAAGCTTGAGGTCATAGAAGACGGTCTGTCTATTTTATGTTACGCAAGTGAGTGGCAGCGCGTCCCCTTCTTTTTGGAGGCACCGCTGAAACAGCTGACGGCAACGGAGAGGCGGTCGCCGTGCTGCCGACCCGCTGCGCTTGTTGCAGTGGTAGCAGGAGTGTACGCGCGGCGCAGAGCGATCGTTCCGGTCGCTCTGGTCACAACGGACGCAGTCGCGGATAACGGGTTCGTTTTCGATGTCTGAACCAGCCTTTACACAGCTATTGTAGGCGCACAGCAGATCTTCGTGACTGTACGCCGTAGCCGAACCCTCGGGCTGCTCCGGTGAGGACCCCGCTACCCCGCGTCGGGCACGAAACCGTCCGCCATGTTTGTAAGCGTATCTGGGTCGCTTCCTATTGGCTAGGAGCAAGAGCTGAAGCTCGTTTCTCATTGGCTGTTGCTTCGTATGGTTGCATGCGGTTGCATGTGTGTGTACACGTCGCGCACAGTTGTCGTTGAAGTCGCAGCGGTTGCATTCGTTCGTAAGCATAGTGGTCGCTCCGAACGCAAATGTGTGAACGGGCCTTAAGAGTTCATGTGGAGAAACGGCGCGACTGGCAGGAGGACACAAAGACGAAGAGAAACAAGACAGCCCTTGTATTGTTTCTCTTCGGCTTTGTGTGCTCGTCCCAATCGCGCTGTTTCTCAACATGAACATAGTTGATATTGCCTTCTATTTTACCGTTTGACTGTTACGCAGACTTTTGTTGCGTACATTGTTATTGCGCGCCTAGCGATGAAGGCCTGTGCCCCAAACTTAATTGTGCGCTTTCATTTCGTGCCGTTAGAAGTTTAGAATAGCCATGACTGTATTGGGGCGCACGCGACAAGATACAGTGGCGTCACTGGTTGCCGTTAGTGACGTCACACATTTTGCTCCTTGTGTATTCTGGTTCGGAAAGGATAAAGGAGCTTGGGTACCTCTAACACAATGAACCTTATACAAAGGCGTCAAGTAACGCTCGCTTCTATAAGAGATGTTCACCGGGTGCTTCACAGAACGCAGGTCAAATAGTTTTGTGCAAAAAGTACAAATTGCAAGGTGGGGGGACCGGGGGGGGGGGGGGGGGGGAGGGACCGGATTGATGTTGACGCGTTATATGCTTTACTAATGAGATTTCATGGAATGATTATTGCGTTGGTTGAAACACAGAAAATAGGCTACTTAGATATTCACGGTAGAAAAGAAAAGAGAAAAGTGAACAGACATTTGTAAGATAACTAAAACACTGTGAAACATCTACACAATTTCACCCAGGAAAGACAGCGACAAATCTGCGACCGTAGACATATTGCTACGAACGAACTGAATTCTACGCCCGCACAATTGACCAACAAAGTTTCCCTGGATATTACCATATTACTCTTACTTTTGGATTAGGAACTTTCCTTTCGATTGTTTGTTTGCTTGTATAAACTTCGCCACAAGAGATGTAGACTGCACTTTCGCTGAACCACAAAAAAAAGGTGTTCATTTTATATAATGTTGACCTTCTGCTGTGACAAGCTGTGAAGCCAAAAATAACACAAGAAATACCTCAGGAAAAGAAAAAAAAAACACAGAAAGAAAACAAGCACTAGATTTATAAGCTTATATAGGCGAAATGAAGTTCTGTGGCAGTGTAAGTACGCGCGCCTCCATATTTACTGGTTTTTTTTAAACAAAAATACGTGTATAGTTGTTTTTTTTTACCCGGTTGTTGAAGTTGACAAAACTCGGTCGCCTAGCGGGCCTCTATATTAAAAACTCAACTGCTCTCTCTTCGCCCGCTTCCAGCGTTTCCCTGGGTCAATACGAGTCCGAACCGAAACGAACGCAGGCGCTGCGGTTTTCTAAAGTTCTACCTGCGGCAAATTCCATTCCTTCCAGATTTTAAAAATATTGACTTCGGCTTTCCGTGAACCGCGTTCGCATTTTTTTTGTTTCTTTTAATTTCACTATGTGCCGGATTCGTTGGGTAAGTTTAGTATTGCTAATATTTCAGGCGTTAATACTTCGACTTACATCCATATTTCGGTTAGTACTCGCATTCGAATTGCTAGTAGTACCACACGTCGAAGAAACTGGCGATGGTTGTCGTGCTTGGTGCACTCGCACTCTGTAGGATTTGTCCTGACGTGTTTAAAGGGGTACTCTTTTATTGCCTAAATGTAAACCATGTTTTTTTCTGACCACACCACAGAGACAGCAATCTTTTGTTAGAAAAGACATCAAAACGAGTAAACCGATCCCCGGATTGCACCTGGTGGATAATGTCGTTACGTCCCACTTGTCATAAAAAGCAGCGAGAGCGCGATTCCTGTCAAACTTGGCCGAATCGAATTTCCGTTTGCTTCCGCGCTTATTCAACTCCTGCGGGTCCCCGGCAGGGGGCAGTTTTGAAGCGGAGGTAAGTCACTTTTTCCGAACCAGAAATCGGTCATCTCGAACGGCCAGGTCCGTAACGCGTGTTGACGTCAACGAAGTGGCGAAGCTCATAACCACGCCACAGCCATCATGTAGCCTCACCCGTCATGTCACGGCGCGTCCGTGACATGACGTCACGAACGCGCCGGATCTCCCGGGACGCATCGCGCTCTCCGATGGCGGCACTTCGGGCCTTACTTGGAATTGGCCGTTTAGAACGAGAGATATAGCAGTATACATTCAAAATACAAACGTGCGATTCTCATTAGCAGATATTTAAAAAAAAATGTTTAAGCTATTTCTGTACGTCAGAGGTGTATTTCAGTTTTAATTTCAGCATTCCTTTAAAAGTCTCGTCTTACTTTTGTGGCTTCACTTGCACTATCACTAGGTAAAAACAATAATGCAAAATAAGCGGAGGGTCCCGGTGCATTTACATTGCGTGATTGGTTTAACCCGGGACAGCAAACGCCCGATGTCCACCAGCTCCGTCACGACGCACCTTTGGCGTTACTGTCGAGACCGGTTATAACGAAGTCAACGGGAATCGGAAGTCCCTTCTCTACATCCGCTATTTCATTATAACCGACTTCGGTCATAACGAAGTGCAAAAGGGAATGGGAAATCGTGATCGCTTCGCTGTAGCTGTTATTTTGTTATAAATGACTTCGTTATAAGCGCTCTCCATCTTGATCGGCTGCATGGGGTCGTACGGCATCGGTTGCGGTCGGAGTCGGCGAGGAACGGAATATATATCGGTTTTGATCCGGTAACTGGAACGCGCCAACGGCCCTTGCGTTTACTCAAACACCACCGGGGTCGTGGGGTAAAAGTTTCCAGAGTGCTGACAAGACTGGGCCGAGGCAAGGCCGCTGGATTAGCACGGTGCGCAGATTGGACACAAGGTCTCCGTCAGTCGTTAGGATGGGACTCCGGTTCGATATATCGGTGCCCCGTGCTGGCCAGCGGCCTTGCCTAGGGGCCAGTCTTGTGAACACTCTGAGATGCATCGACGAATGTGAAGAGACGATATTCGACCGCGGTCGTCCACCGATGATAGTTGTTCCGGTGATCATCGTCGTCTTTATTACGCGATGGGGAGTTAAGGTTGAGGAAGCTGGCAGCGCTTTCGTTTATTTGTCATAAATTTGAAGAAACAAAAGGGAGCTAGGGAAAAGGGACGGCTGGGAACTACGCAAACAAGTTAGAGGAAGAGAATACGGAAGAAGGAAAGAAGTCGAGGAAATGTAATTTCTTACGCTTCAAGCGCAAGGATACCAAGGAACCTGAAAAGCACGCACCCGCGCACCTAGGTAAGGACCGATGTTTACGTTGTCGGCAGAAAGCGCGGTAAGCAAATATGGCGGACCCAAGTAAACGGGAAGATGGAAACAACAACACGAACGATGACGAGCAAAAAGAACGACGGAGAAACTGGGAACTAGAATCAATCAAAACAGAAACAGAATGAACACGAACGCGAGAAATATGAAGAGAAGACGCTGGCCCTACCTGACCCAAAATGCTCCCCTCCCCCCCTTTTTTTTTCCCCAAACAAACAAAAAACAAAAACAAACAACAACAAGCAAACAGAGAAACAACAACAAACAATGAAACTTGGAGTTGTGAGCAACCAACATTCCCCAAAGAAAACACCACGCCGACCTGCAAATACAAGAGAAGAAAACAAGAACGTCAAGCCAAACATATGCCCGGCATGCACGGAGCTTTACCTTGAGCTCGTGTATTTGATCGAGGAAATCGTTTCGGGTGACGCTCTCCGACGCCGACACGCTGATCTGGGCGATATCCAGCTGAGTCAGCAGTTCGTTGATGGCCTGCAACACGTTTGCAGGAAAGCGCATGCACACGTTAACACACATACGCACGGCGTGTGCGCACTTGAGCTCCGCGCACATGGCTCAAATAGACCGGAAAAGCCCGATGATCCAAGTGAGAAGGACGCGATATTTAGTTTGAAGTGTGTGTGTGTGCGTGTATCTGTGTGTACATACTTTGTGCGGTCTTAACGCTGGACGAAAGTGTCTTTGGTGTTTCAGGGATCGTGATCCTATGGACGCCGCCGCTAAGACCCGATTTTCGTGTATCATTTTTTGGGACTGGGTTTCGTGCTCGCGCAAACAAGGTCTGTCGATGGTACGCAGGTGGGATGAGCTTGAGGTTATGGTCCTCAAGCTCATCCCTCGTTACACTTTCGGATAGGGGTAGGATCGATGCGAACAGAGAGGTAGGAAGCTTTCGGAGGCGACGTGAAGCCACCAGGGGTGAAGGTGGGGAAGACTTCCGGTATTTAGGGACATGCCCCCAACGATGAAAAAAGCCAAAATACGCTATTGGACGGAAAGGACAGTTGATTTGGCGTCAACAGCTGTTTTGGCCGCCCTTGGGGCCCAGTCTTGGGCAGTAACTAGTTACTAGTAACGCGTTACCGGTAACTTGTTACTTTTTCCGGTAACGTACACCTGTAACGCGTTACTCTTTAATACTGGTAACTTGTAACTGTAACACTGTTACTTTTTTATTGGGTAACTGTAACTGTTTAGGGCGTTACAGTTACCTTTTTTTTTACTATATAAATCAGAACCCACTGCCGCGGACATGGAGAAATTACCATCTTACAGTATTTTTCTCCAAACTCCTGGCTAACAAAAGAAGAAGAAGAAGGAGAAGAAGAAGAAGCGTGGCCACGCATTAAATAGACAAAAAATTGTCTGGTTTAGCTCACGACCGAGAATGGACGACGGACGACTCAGCACGAAACCGGGAGATAAAGGAAGCGGCGGCCGCGGTGGTAGGGGCTGCAAACAATAGGGAGTTTTAGTAGACCGTGTTTCCCCCTCCGCTAGCGCTCCCCTACGAAGAAACCATCACTGCGCCTGCGCGCCGATGGCCTTGGCTGTAGAGTTCCGGGTAGCGGAGGGGCTTGGACCGGGTAACACGGTCTACTAAAACTCGCTAATGTCTGTTTTACCGACTTTGGCTCACTCTTCTCTCGTGGGGACCATCTGCGGGTGTCGGTGGTCGTGCGATGTCTCCGAGTATTCCGTCTGGGCTGTGTCTGCACCCCCCTCCCTCTCTCTCTCTCTCTCTCACTTCCCCTTTGTCGGATATGTCCGTGCTGTCGTTTTTACACCCAGCCGTTCGCAGTTTCCTCATCGTTATTAGTTTTCAAGGAAGCCGTCCCATATTGTGCAGAAAGCCGGCGCTTGTTTAACCTCGAGCGAACACGACTTCCACAGTTGGCGTTTCGGTCATAGACGCCGCGGTGGTCGTCGTACACTCGTAAAGCACCAGAAGCTAATTGTCTCAGTTTCCCCTTTACTCTTTGGAAGCTGTTTGACCTGCTATGTTTACGCTTGCTTCCGTGTATATCCCATATGATAATTATGTGACCATCTCTGTCCTCATTCGTTTCGGACTGAAAAATAAACCAAAACAATTATTGAAAATAAATTATGCACATCAAAATGCTGAAACGGCAAATGTAGCAAAAAAGGAACACCCTTCGGGTTTACATTTTTTTTTTAATTTCTCAGTTTACCTTTCTTCTCACTATAGTCAGTGTAACAAATGAAATAATATTGTTTGTGACCAATTTCTGTACTGTGACGAGAAAGTAACGGCGTTACTGTTTTTGCAGTTACTTCAACTGTAACACGTTACTTTTTGAAGCCGGTAACTGTAACTGTAGCAGAGTTCCTTTTTTCCCCTGGTTAACTGTAACACTGTTACTTTTTACTGGTAACGTGTCCATGACTGCTTGGGGGGCATTCTAACTGAACGCGACCTCTACTTCCTGCTTCATTCTGGATTTTTTGTTTGGCTAGCTTGAGCTGGTACGCCGCCTCCTCATCATACGACGAACCGGTTTGAACATGGCGTCAAGATGGACTAGTTAGTGCATTGTATTCGAGTGAAACATTGGAAACTAAGCGAAGGGCTAGAGGACAGAATGAACAAGCTACGTAACGGGTTTCGAATGTTCGCTTTTTTTTTTTTAAATGATGTTTGTGTTTATATCTTGGTCTTAAATGGCCCAACCTTCTAACACATCATGCAAAAAATGAATACTAGAACTTTGTGTCTGTGAAAGAACAAAGCAAAAAAAAAAAAAAAAGAGGCGATTTGGGATTTTCATTTTAGAACCAAACGCTAACACATTCATTGAAAAACTACTCTTTTATATTTAGGTGTAGGAATTTAGTCTGTTGTATTAAAACTAATCCCCCCCCCCCCCCCATAACAGACAAAAGAATACGAAAATATTGCAAATTTGCTCACGATATTGCTTTTTACGCATCCGGCACCTGTCGCCTTTGCCCCACAACAAGCTGTGAATTGCCGGAAAACTGTGTTATTGGCTTCAGCCTCGAACCTTACGTAAAGCCACACGGGATACAAGGAAGAAGCCTCTGCCATGGTTCAGGTTTTGCAGCACAAGTACCTCCTACTGTGAAAAAATTTCACAAGAAGGACGGGCTTACCAGCAATACTCTGATGCAATGCTTGGAATGTAGGGAAACGGTAATTTTTTTTTTCCGGCCACTTAGTTTTTTTTTGGCAGGTTGGCGAAACAAGGTTAAAGATTGACTGTCAAAATTAAAGTAAGTATCAAAAACTCTGAAACGTATTTCACAGCTATTATCGATCTCGTTTAATCTACCGCGTGCGAAATTCATGAAAAAACAACCGGTTGCAAGTTTATGAACGGGATTTTATTCCAATTCTCTCGAAATGTTTTTTTTCTTTTTTTTTTTTTAAGAATCAGTTACCGAATTAGAATAAAATCAAAGTAACCACACGCATCAGTAGCTCAAGCTGCAATAATGTATCGGTGGAGGAAACGAAGCGTTTTAATTATTTTATTTATTGAGCAATACCATCGATGTCACAACGAGGTTCTAGCAAGTAAGTGTTGGGAAGGGGATCCGACTGCTGCGCCACTAGTGGCTGACTTGAGAACTACACCGATGGGGACGACAACAAAAGCATGGATGATTTGTTTGCGTTCTGTCGCAGTGCTCGGCCCATGTAGCCGAACGTTGCGTCATCATTCGGCCAAGGCTCGCGTCCAACGAGTGAAGCCGAACGCGCACGCAGCACTCCTGGAAGTTTTGTTTTTACATCACCTTTCTCTCGACTAAGCGCGAAAAAAAAGAAAAAAGAAAAAAAAAAAACTGGGCACGAGCCGTACCTAATTGCATTGCGCCGCGCGCAATCAAGAAAGACGAAGTAGCGCACGTAGGCTTTCTGTTGGTAAACACAAAAACTCTAGAAGAAAACAAGCTGAACAAAACGCACCTCTATCTCCTCGCCAGTACGACCGCGAACTTGAACGTGCTGGTTCTATTGTAAACGTAATTATAAATGTTTTTTATCGAGAAGGTTATAAACTCCGAGATTAATTTGGACAGCAACAGGGACTTCATAAGCCAAAGACGTTTCAAAAGAAGGCTTACTCAAACGTTTGTGTCTAATAATTTAAGGTCTCTGTTGCTTTCTAAATTTCTCTCAACGTTGTGAGTTTTATGAAAGAAAGTGGCGCGTGCATAGGCCTCCATAGAAGCTTTGAAGGTGCTCACGAGCAGGTAAAATCTAAAGAAGAAATCACTAGCTCAAAGAAAAAAGAAAAAAAAAGGGAATGAAAAGTGCAGCGACGGTTATTTCTAAAGTTGAAAAATGCATGAAATGCAGGGAGTGATCGTTTAAATTTATTTAGAAGACATTATACAGTCGTTACTTTATTGAAAAATATAATATCGCGAGGTTCATCCACTTGCCAATTTCTGCACGATGCCAATTTCTGCGCTCATTTTAGCAAAGAAACTAAATGGGTGTACAGGTCACGTAACGTCATGCCACGAGACGCTGATTTTCCCGCTAAAATGAGCGGGGAAAGTGAATTGCTGTATAGGCCTCCCTGAGCCATCAGGTCACCAGGCATCAGTTTTCCTGCTCAATTTAACAAGCAAGCTAAATTGGTCTGCATATGTTACGTGAAGTCATTTTCCCCGCTAAATTTAGCGGGAAATACACAGACGGACGAGGAAAAAATTGTGGGATTAGAGGGTACCTTTCAAAAGCATTTCCTGCTGAAAAAACAGAAACTGCCATTCGAGTTGAACATAAAAATTATGGCATGGAAGCTATAAAAAAAAAAGTTCTATGTGCGGACTTACCAGTGCGTAGAGTTCGTCGTCTTCGTGCAGGGTTGCCACCGTGTCCCAGTGAAAGTGGCGAAGGAGGGCGACCCTGGCCGCATTGTGGGACGAGTCCGGAGCCACGGTTCGGTAGAACAGCGGGAATCCCACCCGATCACTGAGCACCGAGCTCAGACTTCCGAAGGAAATCTACGCAGAAAAAAAAACGAGAAGGGGCACCGCACGAACAGTATAAGCGTCCTCGCTCGATACATCATTTGAACAAGATTATCATCATCAACAATAACCGCAAAACAAAACAAAAGAAAATTCATATAAAAATTAAGTATGTGAGGTTGCTTTTCTGCACAACACGAGACAACGAATCACGGCGAACGGTTGAACGATCCCTGCGAATGACGGAGCTAAGAATAGATTAGACCACAGACCACATTATCGCTAGACCAAGCATGTACAGGGAAGGCCTAGTGGCTTGCGCTTTTGACGCAGTTTGATTGGTCCCATTAGCCCGTAGTGTCGACCGGCTGCGTCTGGACGTAGGCTGAAGCGAAGTATAGATTGCAATGACAACATAGACAACACCATAAGTAAGACCAATATTAAATAAAGCGGTTCTTTAGATGACTCACGGGACTCCTCTTCCTTCATTTCGAATAAAAATTTGGATTTGTGTCCAGGATCATGATAACCCTGGAGAAAGCGTAGTTTTGAGATATTAAGAGTCGAGCCAGTTCAAAACGAGGCACATACTTACGAAAAACCCCGAGACTGAGGCGGGAAAAAGATGAACAGAAACAGAAAATCTTCGTGCTGGTGCTGTCCTTCTCTCGTCTCAATTCCGGGGTTTCTTAAGATTGCGTCCGATTTCTACCAGCTCATTTTCGTTCTTGCTTTTTGTTCAACGGTGTGCGTATGCTTCAAAAGGCTGTAACACTTCGAACGTAAGCATCTGACAATAGCCTTCTCTATACTCACAAAGTCTGGCAGTTAGTTCGACCATAGAGTGCCTGGTCGCAGATTTGGAGCACGAGTATCTGGTAGCACAGAGCATCAAAGAGCCATTTTTCAGGCAACCCGGACGTCAGCGCAAAGCTTTTGCAGCGGCGAGGACCCGAAACATACTTGTTCGCTCGGAAGAGATGTGTTTCGGCGTCTCGCCACAGTGGGGCGCCAGTCACGTGGCTCTCTTCTCATCCGTTGTCTGCCGCTCCACCTTTTCCGTTTCGGCGGCCGCTTCTCGTGGCGATCTGCCAGGCTTCGTCAGCATAGAGGAGTCTATGATCTGACCCAAATGAGATGGTACGACGGGACCCTCAAAAAACCGAAATGTTGTCATAAAGAAAATGTTTACTTTTATATTTTGCCATGTTAATCACCCTCAAAGTAGTCTCCATTCGAGTGAATGCATCGGTCCAAACGTGTTTTTAACTCTTCAAAACAATTCTGGAACTCATTCAAAGTAATGCCTTTTAATGCCTCCCTTGTTTTTTCTTTGACCTCTTCCACATCCACAAAACTTTCTTTTTTTTCATTCAAGACTTGTTTGATACGGGCGTACAGAAAAAAGTCCCACGAGGCGAGGCCCGGTGAATAGGGGGAGCGGGCGGAGGGGGGGGGGGGGGGGGAGGGAGGGAGGGATGAGGAGGGAGAGGGGGGAAGGGGATGGGGAGGGGGAGGGTGTAATGCCATTCATGTTCAAATATTGTCGCACTGGTAGGACGTCCACTCGGGAATGTCTCTGATCAGCAGCGAGCAAACAAGGCACACAAATATCGTTGAAACTTTCTTTACGTTCAAATTTTCGGTTTGACGCGAACTCCAGGACTCCACTTTCTTCAGCAAGTTCCTCAATTGCTCTTCGACAGTCTGCCAAGACCGAATCCCGAATTTTTGCACGGTGTTTTCACCAGTCGGGGAGCTGGAGGGTCGCCCTGAGGGAGGTTGGTCGTCGATCAATAATTCGCCGGCTTTGAAGCGAGAAAACCACTCTTAACTGCGACTTCTTAATAGAATATTTTTTTTTTAAACAGTCTGGAGTTTTACTGGAGTTTACACCCCAGTCATCCCCCCCCCCTCTTAAAAAAAAACAAAAAAAAAATTCAGCCGCATGTTGTTTTTTCAAATCAGACATCGCAAAAAAACGAGGAATTATTTTGAAGCGCTTGGGGAAATATTTCACAGCATGCCACTAGAACTGTAGCAGACGACGCCGATCGGCAGACTCACTTGTGGTCTGCCGATCTGCTAAGCGCTACCAGCGGCGTAAGCTGGTACTACAAATGGCTCACACTCCAGAAATTTATTCCGGTGACCTTTGGGTCCTCCCCCCACGTAAGAGACGAAGATATCGGTATCCTAAACCATTCAACTGGAGTGGCAGAGCAACAAGGGCAAACGATGTAATGTGGGAAATGCTTTTTGTGTCCACTTTATTCGTCGTTGCTTTTCTTCTTTGTCCCCCACCATTCTTAGAACAGGAATGCAGTCCGTCTTTGGTTTTGTGTGCGCTTTGTATACGGTCGGTAAAGTGGGTATATTTTGAACAATCATTTCAAGCTGCAACACATCTAACTCTTTCTTTTTTATTTTCATAAATGGGCTCATTGTGTCCATGGTTTAAAGCTCCGCGTTGGTTACGTGTGAGAAGAACTAAAAAATTAACGAGAGCGGCAAGATGCACTGCCTCCAGCACGCGCTCTTCGCCTTCCGTCGTGCTTCGGTTCCTCTTGCACGCTTGAGGCTCAGGCAACGCCGAAGTGTTATCGAAAGTAAGACGCTCCTGGTGGACGAAGGACAGGGGGGAGACCTCCCTGCCTTTTTTATCCCGCCATTGATTATAGTTTCGTTAATCCGTTATTGTATTATTTTTACTCACCCACATGTTGTTTGAACCAGACGTCCTTTTTTACAGAAAAACATGTTTTTTTTTTGTTTGTTGTCCCGACAGTTTGGGAACACTTCCAAAGTAGCCGGAAGAAACTCGAATCAATTAAAGCAAGGATCGTTTCGCAACTCTTCCTTTTCGTGGTTTCAAGCGGGGTAATAGATACTGCCGTTCACCCACGCTTTTTCTTGAGCAAATGAGGTCTTGGCCGGTGAACAAACAGACAGTCTTCATTTATGTATTATTTATTAAATCAATACTGTTATATCAGCTGTTCTTCAACTTTCAGAAATTTTTCATTGCTTTTTCTTAATTAGCGTGCCTCAAACTTCTTTTTTATTTTGCGACAGATTGCCGGTCGAAAAATGTACCGTGTTTCTTACAACTTCTGTCTGTTTATTTCAAAAGCAAACGTATTTTTGCTGCTGCGATCGCACAATGCTGCTATTTTGGATTTGAGCGAACGACGATAATAATCTATTTCGTAGCTGCACTCAAAAAGTGTAGTCTTGCATTAAATACGTTAAGGCTTTAACGTAGATACGCGCCAGTGAGGTTGGGGTCTTCAGCCATAAATATATCTGGTGCAACACTGGAGACGGTAAATTTTTCCAGACACGAAATACCCATCGCAGAAAGAAAAGAAAAAAAAAAAAAAAAAGAAACGCACGCTTTCGCAGTAGCCTTTTGGCACGATGAACGCACATTGCTCCGGAAAAAGAAAAAAAAAGGATTCATCGTGAAGAGCGAACTATTTTTGAGGGGTCTGAAACGTGCTCAGAGTGATAAAGCCTCACCTAAACGTGTTGGCTGCGATCCAGCATCGAGCGGGGTGAATAACATTGCTGACATCCTTGAAAATACCAACCAAACCACCCAAAAAAAACGAAAGTAGAAGTGCCCCGCAATAGAACGAGAAGTTTAGTTTGTTTAGTTATGAACGGACTCACGACGACACCAGCATGTCATTCTGCTTAACACGGGCACCGGGAAACCGTAGCTCAGCAAAATGCTCGGGGATTCCGCTTTCAGGCAGGACTGTTATGAGGGACACACCTTTCCGTTTGACTACTTTGTTCAACGGAGACCGGTTGAATGATACACTCTTTCGTGCCTGTGCGATGAGCATGATTTCTTTCTTTTTTTTTTGAATATAGCGTGCAGTGTTTTAAATAGAATCATTAAAGTGCAGTGCTGTAAATCGAGAGATATTCCTATTTTAGCAGTACTCTATGGCCACATTATTACTATCGTTGAGGATTAAAAGTGACAACCGCGTGACAATTTATGTTTCGTTTAACAGCTTACGTTATAACTTGCTCTTCTTAGCGTCGTCCTCTCCTGAAGTTTCGTGGATGTCGGAGCGTCGGAGGCAAGAAAGAAGGAGATAAGACAGAAGGACTTGACCAACACCTCCTAGGCCAGGAAGGCCTCAGCGCTCTTTCCCTATGGCCGAAAAAGATGGCCACCGTGGCTGCGTTTAAACGCGGAAGAGCAGGCAACACGCGAGGGTTTGCCGTCATAGAAACGAGTTATCATTGATGCAAGCGTGTTCATGTCTTAAAATTCCAACTTTGCACAACGTTTCGGTTAGGACGCTGATTTTCTTAGACGGACAATTTATTGTTGCAGAAATTTATTGACGTAAAATGGAAGAGCAGGGTAGGTGTTTAGCGAGGTCCCGAGATAGATACGGTTTACTTTTAAGCCCAAAATTGCGAATGATGTAATTATCCCCGCAAGATGAATTATTATAAGGAATATTTGCCCAAAATTACACGATAAAGAATGATTGCAAACGGCATTACAAATCACAGTGCCAATACAGTTGACGCAGTAAATGCACGTATGATAACTGCATTCTTGCCTGAAACTAAGCGGTATATTTAAAAGCAAAAACTCAACGTCCGATGTTTTTTTTAGCGTAGAGTTGTTATTTGTGCAAGGAATTTAAAAGAACATTTCAATTTATTCCGAAGAAGAGGGTGCTTCTTTTTGCAGTTTGAATTATCTGAAATCTTTTCATATATCTTCCAAGTAAAAGTTTCGGAAATTTATCTTCCAATAAAGGTTTTTGAGCCTACACCGCAAGATTAACAGAATACAATTACTGGGTCCTTGCCTCCAACGAAGTATGAAGATTTCTGATGAGCCAAAAATTCAGTCATGAAAACTGGGTTGTGGATACATTCCTGTGAAAAATTTATTCCTTTTGTTCGATTATAAACCAGCCATACCGTATAAGCTTATCTGTGTCTGACAGCAATCAGTTGAACGAAGACTCTAAACATCTCTCCTCGTCAAAGCATGGTGATCACCTGTCGCATCTGCTTTTAAGTCTGAGCAACAATGCAACCTCAGAAATCAAATTTATATGAAGGGCATCGGTCTCCGTAAAGCGAAGCTCAAACACCTGAAAAGTGAATTTACCTTTGTATAAATAACAGCAATCTGAGTACTTTTTATTTGGTTCCCACGTGTCACACGAAGCACAGATGTCCCGATAAATATATTCGTGCACGAACACGCGTGTCAACGTTTCTTCACGTGCACGTCTTTTCACAGGGATAGATGCAACTTTTTACACACCGCCTTTCTTTTTTAAATGTTTTACACCATAATCAAAACTGAGTAAACGGTTGCCCAGTCGTGGTAATATAATAAATTGCATAACGAAGGAGCCGTTAACCTGGCCACCCGGCACAGCACTCAACGTCATACTCCGCCCGCAAGAGGAATTAGGCGGGTAACACGGGCTCTATATGAACAGGCTGGCAAAGTACCGGTCGCATCTCGGGTCTTCGATGTAAACTGCCGAACGTAACCAAACATTGTTGCGGGCTTTGGACAAATTGAGCCGTTTTTAAATGACGCCCGACATAAAGCGAACCAACGTAAGTCATTCGACGGAAGCTCAAAAGACTTCGGAAGCGACTGAGACTGTAGGAGATACCCGGCATATGAAAACAAGGAGATCTTAGCCTGGTGCATTCAGATGCAAGAATATTCTCCCACGGAATGGCTCTTGACCACGCTTGCTGTGACTGTCCGTCTTGAGGTAACTTAAGCACATGCACTTTTTCGGTGTTTTTGTAGTTGCCGCGTCATCCCGTAGTGCTACATTTGTTCGGCATGACGCGATCCGCCGAACAAGCCATTGCACGCGTACGTTTGAAACGAGGCAGGGCAGACGACGGGTGGAGAAAAACAAAGAAACAGTGCGAACGACTCCCACGTCTGCTCCCGATTTGAAAAGCCGCGCATGCGCAGTATACTGCGCATGCGACGGTGGCGACGCTCCGCGCACCACCACCGGCAATGTCGCGAGGCCACCGCCACCGGCCGTCGGGGCCATGGCCTTATCTGTCCGCCATCTTTGCATCCCGACTCGCAAGCGTGGAGGTCTTGCCTTGGCGCACTTGAGACATTGCATCGTCTGCCTTCTTCGCTCGAGAGTTGGAGGGCGGACGGTGAACATATGTTGTGGACACCATGGGGACCTTTGATGCAGGGAGGCTATGAAAAATGGGCTCCATTTTTTACAAAGTTTAATTTGTTTCGAGTAATATCTTAGAACTTATTAAAAACTAACTGTTTTAGCGGACGCTGTATGCTAACACAAACATGTCAAAAATTACAATTGAACCTCATAATTGAAAATATCCGAAGATGGATATTGCATAGCAGTTCCTTTAGTGGGTGAATAAGCTTACCATTCTTTAAGATATTCCCTTTTATTTTAGAGCGCAGCTCTTAGGGGCCCGTTTCCGGCTTGAGCGGCGTCGCCGTCGGCGTCGGCGTCGCCGTCGCCGTCGCCGTCGCCGTCGCCGTCGGCGTAACCGCGCGGTGCATCATGGGAAATGTCCCATAATGCACCGCGCGAGCCCCCCACCAAGGTCACGTGACCTCGTGGGGGGTCACGTGACCCCCCGAAGTCACGTGGCCCCCTCCTCGAGGTCACGTGACCCCCGCCGATGTCGCGTGACCCCCCGATGACGTCATCGTCACTGATGACGTCACCGGCATCCACATCGTCATCGTCATCATCACTGATGACGTCACCGGCATCCACATCGTCATCGTCATCATCACTGATGACGTCACCGGCATCCACATCGTCATCGTCATCACTGATGACGTCACCGGCATCCGCATCGTCATCGTCATCATCACTGATGACGTTACCGGCATCCACATCGTCATCGTCATCATCACTGATGACGTCACCGGCATCCGCATCGTCATCGTCATCATCACTGATGACGTCACCGGCATCCGCATCGTCATCGTCATCATCACTGATGACGTCACCGGCATCCACATCGTCATCGTCATCATCACTGATGACGTCACCGGCATCCACATCGTCATCGTCATCATCACTGATGACGTCACCGACATCCGCATTGTCATCGTCATCACCACTGATGACGTCATCAGTGACGTCACTGATGTCGTCACCGGCATCCGCATCGTCATCATCACTGATGACGTCATCAGCGACGTCACTGATGACGTCACCGACATTCGCATCGTCATCGTCATCATCACTGGTGAAGTCATCAGTGACGTCACTAGTGACGTCATCGGTACCCGCATCGTCATCGCCACTGATGACGTCATCAGTGACGTCAGTGATGACATCATCGGCATTGGGGGTCACGTGACCCCCAAGGTAACGTGACCCCCCCTGGTTAGTTTAATCCCCCCCCCCAGTGCCCTTCCCTCCTCCTCCTCAAGAGCTGCGCTCTAATTCGGCGTTACAGGGAGTTGTAAGCGGCTTTCATTTTTTTATATTATTTTTCAGAAAAGCTGTGCCAAAAGGGCACAGATTTCCCGAGGAAAGTCCACTGAAACATTTAGTAATTCAATTATTGACTATTACGATGACGAAGCAAGAAGTTCTAGCGATATAATTGCTAACTTTTTCATTTATTCCGAATTTTGCTTGAAATAAGCAGAAGCCGGACGCGATATAATAATTGTGTTTTTATTTGAGCCGTGCAATATTTTTTGTGACGTATATCCCATAGTAAAAGGGACATTATTTATGCGCATCCAGCTTCAAACGCCATCTTAAGCTGCTCTCCAGCCTGATCTAGAGGATGCATTTATAAAGTATTTCAACATCTAAAAATCTAGGGAAGTATAACAGAAGGTATTGAAATAACAAAGGAATACAATATAGGAACCGTGAGCACGGCACCGACAAATATCGTTAATAGTACCGGGTTCTTGTTGAAGAATTTCTATCATACAATCATTAATTACACATATAAAAACATCACAATATTGGTGGGGCAATGATTAGATTATGGTGCCTTATCGAACGTTGTCTCTCGCCAGCAAGAAAACAAACGTGATAAGAGGGAACTCCCAACACAACAAGAAGCCTCCGGAAATGAGAGGCGAGCGCCTTTCGGGTAATTAATGAGGTGATTTTGCTTGAGGGTTTCTCTTGGACCTTACGGTCGATCATCAAAATTTCAAACCGAACACACTAACACTAGCAGCTTTTATTAATGTAAAACGAAGGCGGCAAATATCGGAGCAGGAAAAAAAAAAAAAAAAAGCACGTGTCGTTAATTAGGCACATCTCAATTAAAGCGTGGCTAAACATGACAGATTGACGTGGTCATAAAAGAGCGAATTGCTTCCTTTTACTTCCTTCACTGGCAAGAAAAAAACAAATACCGGATAGAAAAACGAAAATAATAAAGAGGCCAGGCCTCGACAGCATCGAGACGAAATCGGGGAATAATGTTTTTCTTCCGCCTAATTAATTATATTTTTGCACGAGCGTAGTCGTTCACGATTAATCATTCCTGTAATCCGGGCCCTTCAAGCTCTAAATGAGGTAAACTTGCCGTAGTGATAGCATTACAGTCGCGTTAAATTATAACCCTTGAGTCCGCAGTTCAGGCACTAGACCGCTTTTGAAAAATCTTTCTAAGCAAACAAAGAAAAGAAAATTATCTCGATTTTGCTCTTTGACATGCTGGGAAATCTTTACCAATATCACCTGCTCACAAACTTCTGTTTTTAAAGGTTTGTGCCACTTAAGGCTCGTTCACACTCTTGCAACCGAGTACGACCGAGAGAGACCAGACCGGTTTTCTTAGAACCGGATGCGCTGCAGCGGGGCTGGTCCTAAGAGATCGCAAGAGGATTAAAAACCGGTCTGGTCTCTCTCGGTCGTACTCGGTTGCAAGAGTGTGAACGGGCCTTTAGAGACCGGCGATCAGTTCGCGCTTTCCACTCCCCCCTCCCGCTTCCTCCTCTCCCCCCTTCTACCCTGTTCACCGTTGCCTGTTTCGTCCACCCCCCCATAGTGAGGAGGATCTTCTGCCTTGCAGAACCTCGAGTCTGGTCGTTGGCCTTTAAGCGATGAAAACATGGTAAATCGGGTGCATCTCTGCGATTAGCATCTAGAAATGGCAACCTTCCATCCTACTACTTTATCATGACCTCCTGAAAACAGGAGTTAATAAGTCAATTAGCAGGTATTATACCCCTTTTGCAGGTTAAGAGAAGCAGGACAAGCGATCGTCTTTCCGTAAAGCCTGCTTCCACTTGAGGCAGTGGACGCTGGAGAGGCGGCGAGAGAGGAGGTGAGTCTACTTTCCTCCTCTCCAGTTTTCGTTCTGCTTGAGTGGAAAGAGGAAGGGAGGCTGTGCGAGAGAAGCTTGTCCTGCTCCTCTTAGTCTGCAACATGGTATAGTAGAAAAGAAAACTGTTTTTGATGGTTAGTATCCAATTGAATCGACCGAGGAAGGGTACTTCGAAAAGAACCTCCCCCCCTTTTTTTTTTACTAAAACATATCTATTGTTGAAAGTAGTGAAAGCGCACAATAAAGACGAATACGAAGACGGAAAGGCAAACAGGACGAGCGCTGACTATCAACTGAAATTTTTATTGGAAAAAATAGAAACAGCAAAATAAAACCAGCGAAAGCCACAAATACTACAAATGTGACTAGTCATCAATGACTCGGCCACCGTACGTGTCCATAAAGTCCACTTCCTTTTTGTGAAGGAAAAGTGAGGGCTGACTGATACACTTATCAGGATGTTCCTTCTTTATCATGTAAGCCTCCAGTACCTCCCTCGCCACCTTTTCTTTACCTCTCCCAACGATTGTTGTGCCTTGAAAGTTGGGAATGCAGCGGCAATCTCTGCAGTGTATGTGTAAATGGGCTCCTGTTGTTGAACGCAGTGATAAAGCATGTTCACGCAACCGCTCATTCAAGCACCTTCCGGTCTGGCCTACGTAAACCTTGCCGCAGCCCAATGGAATTTTCCAACTTTCAAGAAAAATTCCATTGGGCTGCGGCAAGGTTTACATAGACCAGACAGGAAGGTGCTTGAATGAACGGTTGCGTGAACATGCTTTATCACTGCGTTCAACAACAGGAGCCCATTTGCACATACATTGCAGAGATTGCCGCTGCAATCCCAACTTTCAAGGCACTACAATCGTTAGGAGAGGTAGAGAAAAGGTGGCGAGGGAGGTACTGGAGGCTTACATGATAAAGAAGGAATGTCCTGATAAGTGTATCAGTCAGCCCTCACTTTTCCTTCACAAAAAAGAAGTGGACTTTATGGACGCGTATGGTGGCCGAGTCACTGATGACTAGTCACATTTGTAGTATTTGTGGCTTTTGCTGGTTTTATTTTGCTGTTTCTATTTTTTCCAATAAAAAATTCAGTTGATAGTCAGCACTCGTCCTGTTTGCCTCTCCGTCTTCGCCTTTATTGTGCGCTTTCACTACTTTCAACATGCATAACCAACTCGCCTGCATCGCCACATTAGTTCATATCTTTTGTATATGAATAACAAAATAAGCACCTTGTATTTCATAACCGAGTTTGATTCAGAACGGCTTCGAAGCCACATTTCTCTCGCTTTCGACGATCTCTATCAAACAGCGAAAAAAAGAATGATCAAGCCTCTCAAAGACCCGAAACTTCCCAAAGAGTTCAGGTATGTGTTTTCCCGTGTTCTCAGAGTGTTTGACCTAGACATTTATACCTACCGTTGGGGAAAGCCGAGTTCCTCAACTCCGCCCTTCCGATAGAGTGAACTGTGTATAAGTCTCTGGGGAGACCGGAACTGGGTTTCAACTCGAAACACGACTGCATTAAATGCCGACTTCACGAGGATGCAACCTTCCTTCAAGTGGGTGACCCAAAGTGCTCTTGAGTCGGGAGGCTTCACCGCCAAAACCACTTTTGTCGTGCCGTCACATTCAGACCCGCATCGCTTTTCTCTATCCAAATAAAACCCTCCCTCCTCCCCCGCTTCTGTCTCTCTCTTTCCCCCTCCTTCTACCCTCTTTGCCACGCGCACCGTCTTCAAAGTTCAAAGCAAGCCCGTGAGACACTATAAAAAAAATGCACCGTCACGGCCCGTCCTCAACACCTCATTGGTTCATCCTACTAGGAACCGTTATGACGTGGCATGCTTCTGACAGCCTATTGGCGGATGGTGTCGAGGAGAGCAGTGACGCAGCGGATTTAGCCCCGCGCTAGTGGTCCGCTTGCACTCTAACCTTGGCTGCGGTCCATGTGCAACTGCAGCGGCGCAGTGCGCACCTCCGACTCCATCCGTTTCTATACCTCCGTGTTTGTGCGTACCTCTAGGTGGTATATGTCGGGTCGGCGGGAGCTTCCTCACCTATCCAGCTCTTCTGCAATTATAATGGGGTTCCCGGGGTGGGGGAAACAGACTCGGCGTTTAAGTCAGACGCAGTCGAGCCAGCGCTCCTCCGGTTTGAATGCGAGCACACTTGAACGGATCGCTCGCTCGAGCTTCAACTTAGTTCGGAGTCGGGCTGCCAATGTGTGTGTATAGTCAGCTGCGGAGGCTGATCACAGCTGCCTTAGGCTTGAATTGGAGGTAGAAGTTTTTGGAGGTTACGAGTTTTCGTGCGGGTCTTTATTTTGCCTTTTTTATCTGCTTTCGGCGCGTTGACGAGGTCATTAATTGGGAAGGTTTCTAGTCGCCCGGGTGATCTGTTGATGTGAACGAAACGCGCTAGGGAGGAGCCTCAACTAGAGGGATTATTGATTGAGTCCGATGTCCGGGACAACTCGGTGCTCTAGTCTACTATGCGCATAATGATTACGGAATAAATTAATCTCGATTTCTTTTTTAGTTTGATGAATATCCGACTTTTTCTTCGGGACACTATATATAACGTTGCGTTCTAAGCCAACCGCCTGATTCGCATTTTTTAGATGGTCCCTCCTTCGTTTCCTGCCCCCTTACCCTCCTTCATCCGTCCTGCCCCAACCTACCCTAAAAGTTAGATCCCTTTCTCTCCTAGCGGAAAGAACGCGAAGTTACACCAGCAAGGCCGGAGTGCTGAATCTTTTGCGCCACCTACGAGGGACCGTTTTGACTGATGTCGCTTTCACTGATTGAGAACGAGTCCGTACTCAACCTCGATGTAGCGCTTATGTCCAATCTGCGTCCCGCGCTGACCCCTTGTAGCTGACGCGGATTAATTCAGCTTTTGGGCCTTGCTATCAGGAGGCGGGAAGCCACGTCCTCCTCTATTCGATTTGTTCTTCCCCTCCTTCGGCATTCTCCCAGTTCGAAAGAGAAGGGAAATAAGCGAAGTTTGTGTCCTGCAAATGGACTCTCACAAAGAAACAGCCGTAGTAGCTTCGCAGAAAAACTAAGCTGGTATGGCTCGTTACCTGCCGCTCAGTTTTCTTACTTTACGCTGAGTTACTATACGTATACTCGTGTTACCTTAGGCTTTCTACCCTAGTTACCTTCTTTACCTCACGCCAAGTTACCTTCGTTACCTTAGGCTAATCCAGCCTGAACGCGATTTTCTCAAAGATAGTAAGCGAGCGAACGAAATGGAACAATTAATCGTTTGCAGACAATGTACGTGTTCTGCTAACCACTGAGCCCAAAATCACCGTTACGAGAGGTGGTGTAGTATGTGTCTGTGTGTGCGGAGGGGGATGGGGGGGGGGTGCACTTCTATGAGACATAGACTATACAGTACTCCATTTCACCCAACGATGGATCGCAGCGGACATTACTCGCCATCCTGGCCAATCCAGCGCTCCGAACTTAACACGTGACTAGCCGCTCCGCACGTCCTTGCGCCGCTCCCAAAGTGTCGCGCCGATACATGGCATTGCACTGGCGTAGTCGGCACGTAGCGCCCCCTGCTGTCTATCGTGAGGTGAAGCTGAGAGCAGTGAAGAGGACCTCCGCAGATGGACGTTGGACGTTTTGGACGGGGGGACAGCTTGGAAACGGAATCCCCCGCCGGACAAAAGCATATCGGGAAGCGGCTCCCTGCACTCCGTTGCACCTTGCGATGGACCGCAACGGGCACTAGGAGCCATCCCAGCCAATCTAGAGTTGCGCAACGTGTCCACGGGCCCCGCGCGTCGCTGCACCTCTCCCGAAGGCCACGTGATTACTCGCATTGCACTGGATTGGCTGCGACGGCTCCTAGCGTCCGCTGCGGTCCATCATGGGCTGAAACCTCTCCCTAGTATCCCGTGTCTTCCCTAGGGTCCTCCCTGCAATCGAACCAGATGTTCCGGCTGGACGCCCACCAATCTTTCGGCGGAGCACATCATCTTTTGTCGGTGTCGCGGCTGTTCAATTTTTTTTTTTTCGCGCTCACTTTTTTTAAATTTTTTTTTAACGTTTTTGCGTTTCGCTTTTTTTTATGTTGTCAACCCTGGGGACGCTGGGCGAGTTCCGTTCGGGTCGCCGCGCTCTTAGTCACGGTCGAGTTCAGCAGACTTGGGCCAAGTCGATCCGGTAACTGCAGTAAGCCGATAAATGACTAATTCACCGAGACTCGAACCGGGGGAATCTGCTTGGGTGCTTCAAGATGGCGGCCGACGTTTCGTTCGCCCTCTTCCCTTTCATCTACTCCTTAATACGCTCTCTGTAGCTTAGGTCATGACCAATGGTTACGCGTTCCGCACTTTCAGAGTTTACTTTTAGAAATATTTGGAGTGTGTTTTTCGGAATTTCTTTTTTCTTCGCCTAAACATTGACGTCAAATTGCCATTTTTTTGCGTGTTATATATTTCCGAAATAATTTCCATTTTTTTTTTTTTTTTTGCGATCGGAGGGCTGTACGTATTTTCCGATTCAAAGAAAGGAATTGCTCGCCTCTTGAAAGATTTCTTGTTGAAACATTTTACATTCCCGGTTAAGATTCGGAGGGAATATTTTTCCCAAGCCTTGGAGGTTCTGAAGCCAAATTTGTTTGGGTAGATATTCAGACATCGAGGATACGGCGAATGACTAAATGATGAGACTTGCCCCTCCACTGTGAAAGAACATTTCATCCAGTCAGTGAACCTAAAAAAATAGTTTTAAGGTACTGACACTTTCTCGCGTTGATGTTTGTCCCTAATTTCTTGTTGTCTTTGTTTATTTTGCTTAGCTTACGGCCACACATTTGCACTCTTACCTTGAGCTCAAATCTAAAACCTGAGTCGACCAGGAAACTAAAAAATGTATTGCAATATGAGCATTCCCCTTGTCGCTCACTCAATAGAATAATCAAGATAGGGCGAGAATGCGATTACGGAAAAAGGTGCTACACCGGGATGAGTCGTAAATACATTTAACATTTCGTGAAGAAATTCCGAGCACCAAACTTCCTAATGCGTTTCAATTTCGTTTGCCTACCAGTGTCGGCGTTCTCACCACCGAAAACCGGGGACACTATCAAACACAAAGCGCCAAAAATAGTAAGGTTGGATCGGAGAAAAACTGCAGAACAAATAATAATACACAAAAAGAGAAAAAAGTTTTGAATGCAACACGAGTCTGGAAAACTTTCCCCTTAACTCCGGGAACTCACTAGTAAACTTCAGCTATTCGGGAAGCGATGCAACCGTGTGGGTCAACCTACCGAATGAAAAAAAAACAAAAAAAAACAAACAAACAAACAAACAAACAAGAACAACAACAGCAAACGCATACCGACAGCAACACACTCCTTCACGTACAAATAACAGGCAAAAAAACTATATAAAAAAGCTAAGGACTAGAAAAAAGGGAAGTTCCAGTTACCTACGCTCAATCGATACCGAACATTCCTCCTTATTCCCCATTTCTTCCCTATTTCTTATATGCCTACTACCTACCCATGTTTCGTTCGCATGACCAATACACAGATCTATACAAATAGAAGCCAGAAGACAGCCATCATCAAACCTAGAGAGAAACGTAGACGAAAAGAAAAAAAAGAAAAGAAAGGGAGGCAGGAAAGAAGCCAGATAAATCTCGCGTTCCTCATCGCAAAAGAGGGACGGTTCAATCGCAAGTGCATCAAGAAAATGGCGTCCCTCTTTCTTGCTTCATTCTTCGCCTTTTTCTCCTCCTCTCTTTCCTCCAGAGGCACCCTTTGTGGCCTTCGTGAAGCGCATGCACGCGTAGCCGTGCCATTGACGGGTTCTCCAGCTCCCTAGGAGCCGTGCGCGCAAGAAAGAAAGCAGACGACAGAGAACGCTCCGACCGAACCCTCGAAGCACGTCACTGCCATTGAGCAGGGTACGGTGCTGCAGGCTCTTTCCCCCCCTGCATCCCTCTTTATCCATTTTCTAGGTTGACCGTGCTTCTGGCACCCGCGGAGGTTGTAAAGGGGTTCTGTGACCCTCGCGCGCATTCGCGGAAGTTTGCGAGTCTTCCGCTAGCGAGTTCTCGGAGCAGACAAGTATCACCCAGGAAGCAAGGCCTCCACTTTTTCCCCCCCACACATCGACACAAGTGGAGTCACGCAACGCTGCCGATTTTGCGTAAGCGTCAACGCGTATCGTTGCGTCTCACAAAGAGTGCGACCAAACGGACGCGTCTGCGGGGATCTACTAACGATGACGTCATGAGCAGGCCTTGCCCTCTAGGTGGTATCGAGCAGCCGTTGTCTCCTCTCGTTTCAGTTAGCAGACGGGAGGGGTCGTCGTTTGGGAGCGGAAAGAGAAGTTTTATCTCGGGTTCTCTTACTTCGGGACGGAGTTTAGGAAGCGAGTGGAATGGCGTTGCGACGGTGTAAAACGCGATAATGGTTTTGTAGTTGGCTAGGGACCTCCGAGGCGTGACTTGATAAACAGCACTCGGGGGGGTTCTTCCTGGCAGATTAGCGAAGAAACGAAGGAACGAAAGGCAGGAAACGCTACTCGCGTTTGAATACACAGAAGTGTGAGTGGCGGTAACCCGGTCGCGGGAAAGGGCGAGCAGAGAACCGAGACAACGGAATAAGAAGCCGCAATAAACAGACAATCTGACAGATAACTTAATAAAAACAGAACAACGTACGACTTTAGTTTCGAGGACTGGATATTCCGAAAAGTTCGCGAAGTACGGATTTTGGGAGCATTCTAGATTGTTTATGGTATAATATGTATTCGTTAGCATAAAGCAACATATTCACGTGATGTAGTTTTCGTAATAATTTTCGAGTCGCGAAATTCGCGAAAATAGGGTCTTCGCGAAAGCAGACTTTTAAAATAGTTTACAGATGTATAAAGAAAAAAAAAAAAAAAAAAAAAAAAAAAAAAAAACGAACGAAGGACAACGAATATGGTATTCTGGAGAGTGATGTCTTCACGAGTGACGCCCAGTGATTTGTTGTAGGTTCTTTTTTGAAGAGCTGAACCAGATGTAGTAACTTAAAAATCGACCCGAGAACCATTTTCGTACAAGGATGGTGATTTCTTTTTTTCTTTTTCTCAATGCGCTCATTAACTATAGTGAGAGAACAATTCCCTGTTGTGCGGGAAACTAAGGGAAACAATACAAATCCTTTAAAACACAAATTCAACACAGTAAAACAAAAGACAAATAAAAGAAAAAAACACACACACACACACAAAGAAAGGACGTTTGAATCTCAGTTGCGAAGCGGGTTCGCTCGGTTTCATCGTAAAATGCGCGTAAATTGGTATTGAATCTTTAAGTAGCCGCGTTCACATAACCGCTTTGCGAATGCGGTTGAACCCCCGGTGTGAATGCGGCGCTGCACGTAAATATTGGGACAGTCCGAATGACGCCTTACTTTGTTTCCCACTTAAGGGGCTGGCCTACCATGCCACTGGCCACGCCGAAGAACATGCGTTGTTCAAGTGCCTGGCCGCGGAGTGTCTGTGTGCATTACACATGTACCTCGGTATATTACATACCAGTAGTGACGAAGCTTACTGTATCGAGGTAAGCTAAAAACTGACGAAAGAATTACACATAGAAAAAACAAACACGGATAGTATGTCTTAAAGAAAAAAATGTGGTGTCCGTGGTCTGTGTTTTTAAGTGTACTTCTTTCGTAAGTTTTTTTTAGAACAAAGCTTAGTTTACAAAAGATTTCTTCGCTCGTGTGACCTAAAAATAAAAAAAAATAAAGGGCCGAGATGTGCTAAATGTTTTGCTTTCCACCCTCATTCGTATGCTGATCGGCAAAGCTCTGGAAACTAAATATGGCTAGTGAAAACACCGCATCACATCATATTACTACCATGATTACTCCACGGGACAAAGAATGAAATGCTCGCGAAAAGTACTTCCGAAAGCAAGTAATTACTTTTATTAGAGAGAGCACTTGCAATAGACATGGAAGAGAGTCTAATAAAGACGGCAATTAGTGACGCGAGAGGGGCCTCTAGAGGTTCGTTCCACCACAATGCGCCCGTGTCGCGCAGCGAAGCCGGACTAGGGTAGCGCTTTTAGAGTTTGGCTTCCGAACAAGGCACGCCTCTAAGGTCGTGAAGCCTACCCAGTAGGCAGCGTTTGGAGTTGGAAGCTGCGTTTTATAACCGTATAAAGCTTGCACGGTCACACAAAAATACGTAAGACAAAAAAAAGAAAAAGAACGGACAAAACAACACCAGCTTGCCTGCACTCTCCCACTTCCGACTCTCTAAGACTCTTTCTCTTTTACTTATTCTAATCAAGTGGTGAACATTGTCAAAAAGATTTTTTTTTCCTTGCGAGGAAAAGAGGGAGGGGGAGGGGGGGGGGTCTACCCGTTTACGTATCATGTTAAATGTGGGTTTAGGTTTAGGCTTGAGAGAATTGTGATCAGTCGTGCATTATTAGTAGTCCCTTGGTTAAACAGTTTTTTTCTTTTCACGCGGAGAGGAAAGTACTATATAGTCAGTTACAGGTTTAAGCAAAGTTTTCGAGTGAAAGGAAGGTTGAGGAGGAAGAAGCAGACGGAACTCTGGAGAGAGGAGAAGGTTTCCTTCTCTCCTCTCCAGCATTCCGTTTGTTTCCTCGTGCCCAGCCCTCCTTTTCCTCGATTGCTTTTCTTAACCTTTAACTGATTATAGTTAAATGTTTGAAATGTTTTTTTTTTCGGATTCGTTTACTGCGAGATAGATTTTTTTCTTTATCTTGGCTCTTGGGTTAGTATTTAAAGGTAGTAAACTAGCAAATGTAATAAACTCGCACTAATAAATGTGTAAAAAGTTAGGCATGTTTTCATGCGTTTTATAACAATGCCCATATCTTTTAATAAAATTGAAATGATTTAGCATGAAATATTTTGTTTCATTTCGCTTTCGTTTTTTGCGTTTGTAGCATTTGATGTTCACTGTAGCATTTTTATTCTTGCCTATTGGTTGTGTTCACAGTATTTGCAGTATTCTTTATCCTTCGAATGGTCAATATCAGTATTGTTGTTTGATTTTATTTGTGCTAGATGATTTTAGTCGATATTGCTCATTACGTACCAATCAAAAGTTCATGGTGCTGTTTTCAGACTAGCACGACACAGCACTATAACTATTATTGATACTATTATTGTTAGCAGAAGTGATCAGAATAACCTCAGACGACTGCAGTTTGCAGTAACTTGATTACTTCAATTTGAAGTAAATGATATAAGCGTCTCGCGTTGTCGAAATTTCCCGCGGTCCTTGTAGTTTTCGGCACTTTTATGTTCTATAAACTATATGAACTAGCTAGCCCAATTAATCACCTCGCTGAAGTAGATGTTTCCTTGCCTTTATTGATGACTACTCTGAAAGTGATCTGTTAAATTAGGATAGCTCGTCACGCGCGTGTCCGTCTGGCCACCTCACCTGCAGTATTCCCCAGTGGCTAACCACCTTGGCGAGGCGTTCGGTGACCTCCGAGGAGGAGGTGCCGAGGAGCATAGTCATCTTCTGCTTCCGGTAGATGGCGTGAAAGAAGGCGTTGATGGCCGCCCCGGAATCGCACTGCGGGTAAAACAAGCACAAGTATAATTAGAAACGACTTAAAAACTTGCGATTGCCGAAAGTATGCAAATAATTTTCACTGTTTTCCAGAAAAATCTCGAAAGAACTCGAAAAGAAGCCCATCGGAAGCGTCAGAATAGCAGACAACGTTCTGCCACGAGACTTGGCTTCTTTTGAACCCTGAAGAAGCAAGTCCATGAGTGAAAACTCCATGTCGTGTCAACGTCATGTCGATGCTTTGTCAGTGTCATCTCAACATCTCAATCATTCATTGATTTGAGTCATTTGTTGAGGCAGTTAGACTCTTTATGGGCTATAACAGGGTAGAATAAAAATGCCTAGAGGTGAAACATACACGTTACTGATACAAAAAAAGTTTAACGAATAATCAAGTTTCACAAGGATTACAAAACGCTGCACCAACCGAAAGAATAGTTTTAGACTAGTACTTAACGACGAAATGTACTGATGCGTGGGGCATTTACTTAGTGGCATAAACGACAATATTTTTTTATGCTCTAAAGAAATGAACTAAGTGAGGTTGATGACACAGTGGTGTGAGGTAGCATAATTCACTCGCTGATGGCTATAGTAAGAAAACTGAATTTAAAACAATAATTTCGCACAGATGGATTTGGGATCTTCATGCTGTGGCGATGCCTTGATCATTCATTTAGACGAACTTGAAAATAACCTGGAGTGTTAATCTTTACGTAATTACGAATAAAATGTCGTAGATGTTGTGTAAATGTTTTGCCAACATCTTGTCGATGTCTTGTCAAAGTCTTGTCAACATCTTATTAATGTTCTATTAATATCTCGCCAACACTTTGACCATGTTCCGTCAACGGTTTGTTGAAATTTTGGCCATATGTCGCGTCAACATCTTGTGAATGTCTCAACATTGTCCTGCCAACATATTGTCAATGTTTTGTCGGTGTGAAGACGTTATTAATGCATCAGAGTATTGTCACAAAATGGGAAGGTTGGCAACTAGCGAAAAAGAAAGAACCAGTGCACACATGGATAGATTGAAAATTTTCCGGAATGACAATTAGAACAAAATGAATCAGGTTCAAGGTATATTTTATGTTTCAACATAATACCCCCAAAGCTCAACACACCTGGTTTAAGGTTTCTCCAGCTTCTCGATACTCTCCGGGAAGTGACTTTCTTCGAGGTCCACAAATAACCGTTGCCAGCCTCGATCACCTCCTCATTCGACCGAAATATTTTCCAAGCCAGGAATGTTTTCGACTGCCGGAAAACGCCGCCAAACTCGCACACGATGCCATCAACAACCACGGCGGCGACAGTGACACGTGGAAACCCATTCCCGAAAACGTTCCCGGGAAACCGTTACACTAGCAGCGGTTACCCAAATCCCGATTTCGAGTTTGATGATCGTTATTTAAAAAAAATTCTCGGCATTGTCCGCGAACGGCGCTGCCAGCCCGCAGAATCATCGCCTTCGCTCGCCACTCCCGTCAAAGCGGCTGCTCGCCGCTCCCGGTTTGGTCAATTAGGGACTCGCGACTACAAAGGGGAAGGGAAAGGTACGCGAACGTCCCGAAAAAGAGGAGGAGAAGGAAACAAAAATTCCACGCCAAACTTCGAATCGGCACGATCTGTTCGGGAAGAAGACGGCAACCGTTTTCGATAATTTGCATAACGCGCCGAGGATTACGCGGGCTGGAGCTTCGACCTTGCGAAGTACACAAAATAAAGTAAAACAAAAGAAGGAAAAACATAATGGCGGTTGTGGAAGATGGTGCTCGATATTATGACGGGTTTTGAAGCGGTTTTCGACGCGGAAAACGGCGTACCTGGCGCGGAAGGGTGTAAAAAGGTATCGAGAGAGTGCGAAATTTCCCCCGGAATTTGCAAGTCCAAGTTGGGCGCCCGAAACATTATTTGCAGCGGTGGCAGGTAACAACGTATGCAAGTGGCGCTAACGATTGCAGTCTGGATGTGGCGGTGCGAGGGAAGCTTCCGGACGCGCCTTTGTTAAAATGACGGGTAAAGTGCGTTTTAACGGCTCCGTTAATAAAGGAGTTTAATCGACGGGACATGGAACAGGCAGGTGCGTTCATTCAGCGGAGAAGGTGTCTCTAGTATACGGCTACAGGAACGCGTCTCGGACTGGTGTGTTTAGCGTCCTATGCGGGTCGTAAGTTCGTCTGCTTCTTTTTGCAGGGGTTGTCGTGACGTCAGAAAGATGCCGAGCTCCGATTGGCTCTGATTGAAGGATAGTGGGTAGACCTCAAAGCGAGCTGTCTCGAGGTCTACCCACCATCCCTCCATCAGAGCCAATCAGAGCTCGGCATCTTTCTGACGTCAAAAGAAGCAGACGAACTTGCGCTCCGCATTCCGCCCTCGTGCATCGAACCGGAAGTGGCAAGGAATGACGTCACGAAAGCCGGAGTGTCACGCTTGCGGATGTCGCGATCCTGGCGGTTGGTCGTAGAAGCCTCCCGCGAAAATCACGACGAAACGCGAGTGTCGCTATCGTCGGGGTGTCCCAACTCCTGGCTGCCAAAGCTTCCGCGGGCTGCCCTGCTGGAGTGCGACCTGCCGCAGAACAGGCGTCTGCCGTGGCCACCATCGCTGCTGTTACGTCGCCAGGGTCGCGGCCGGCGAGAGCGAGACACTTTTATGACGTCATCGGTCAAAAATGGTTAAGATACTAGAGTCTAGTGTGCATAACGCGTAAATTTGCGAATAAGGAGCGGCACTGTTTCCGAACGAATTCATCTCGTCGATGTACCCACCAAACAATTCGATGACTTTGTAATGCGTAATCTTCGGAAGGAGCTCTGGGTCTTTGACGGTTAAAAAAACGCAAGGGTGTGTCTTCCATGTTCAAGCTTTTTGCTTCGTGATACTTTTTTTTTTTTGCGTTCTTTTTGATTAATGTTGTTCCTTATTTGAAGCAGAGCAGCGATAATTAGGTGCTTGGGATACACCTCCCTTTTTTTAAACTGTCAGCGAGTACAATAAATGTCGTCACTCAAACAACGTTTCATCTTACAAGCGCGTTCAACGAAGACATCTGGGGGTGAAATAAATGCTAAAATGCCAATTGTATACGGCATTACAAAAAATAAATTTGGTGTACATTTTACACTTGCAGCAGTCACGCAATCACATCAACAGATCGCAATGCTTGGGTCACCCCATGCTTACCGATAAAAACAAATTTGGAAGCCCCGCGCATATTCGACCCAAGTTGAACCGTAATTTATATATAAACCGTCACGAATTGGTTTCTTCGTACTTTCGCGGCAGTAGCGACGTGTCCGAACCGTAGCACACACAGGCGTACGCACGCACGCACGCATGCCTACGAATTATAGCCTTTGAAAACATCCTGGTTTCAAACGTGTGGCTTTACCGTATACGTCCAGTAGCAGCAATCATGCCTGACATCGAGCCTGATACCATCATGCATAACAAACGACGTAACATAAAATAATTCGTAAGCAGTGTTGTCTACATGATTTTTCCTGCGAATCTTTACTATCCTCTCGTTCCTTTCCACCAATTCAAAGAACCAAAACCAAAACAAACAAACTGGAAAGGGTGTGTTAGATATACGTCTCGGCGCAGCATAAAAGCCTGCGGCGTATACCTTGCTGGCGGATAGAGAAGAATGGCCCGAGGTGATAGGGCTCCCATAACTCTGGGAACCGCACGGATAAAAGCCGCACACAGGACGTCGTCCCAAGTGACTATTTTACTTTCTTTTTTGCCTATTTGCTCGTGTGTATGTGTCGAATCGGATCCGGAAGCCTATATGTACAACAGCATAAATCACATAACGGAAGGCATTTTCACCACCGTTCATCTCGACAATGACGGCTGCGCGAAGCTTCCGCACACATTCCATTTCAGCTCACGGTGGAGCGCATCGGACGCTAACACGAGCCATCGTGGGGCGTCGCAGGGGGAGGGATCGGTGGCCGGGTGTGTTTACGTGCTTCCAACTTGCCTGAGGGGTGACGTCGAATAATTTGGTCATCACGTTTCCGGCGAACACCGCTATTTCCTATCATGTATAAGACATGTAACTACGGCTTAAAGAACCAAGGCTAGCACTCATGTTTACGAACAAGCAGGAGCGCCCCTGGCGGACGCCACCGGCGCCGCGCATGCGCGATGGGGGTGTGGGCAAGAAGCTCGCCGTCGCCCATAAACAAACCATTGAAATGCGATGTTGTCGGCGTCGGTGTGAGTCCCTGTGCTGTTTTTCGCTTTGAAATGCGTCTTCTTTGCAATGTCTGACTACTTCAGCGGCCTCAGCGAAATTACCGAGGCTCGTTACACCGCAAAACTTTGCGCGAATAATGGGACATGCGGCGATTCATTCCGCGTGGACGCCGCAGAATGGTCTCTAAAGCGTGGTTCGCACGATGAGATTCCGGTCGCAATTTTCAGTCGCGACGTCGCTCGGGCTCCAAAAGCGTGAACTGCAGCTGAGATGGTCGACGTCAATACTCAAAATCGCAAGCAGAATTGAACCAAGTGAATCAGGCAAAACAAGTTTGTGATGGCCACTGGTAACAATGATCAACATTTCCTTTACACCGAGCCTGCTTACCACAACAAAACTTTTAACTTAAAAGTATCGCAATTACCGGGCCAACTTTTGTTCTACGGGCCAGTGTCGTCTAAAAGAGCAGACGACAAGCAGAAACGTTTGAAACAGCAAACGACAGTTCGAGCGATCAGGCGGCTGTTTCAGCTTGAAGACGCACTGAACGTAGTCCCCAGGTGTTCCGTACAACTTGACGGTTTTACGGCGTTCATTTTTGGAACAAAACAAATAAATCCGATGAGCAAAAGTTTCCGTGAATTCATCCCAAAGTGCTTCCCGCCCAAGCAATCGTGATCTGACGGCGTCTGATTTTCCCTTTTCACGTCACATATCCAAGTTCTCAGACGAGCTGAGCACACGAAAACTGACCTTCAAACCTTTCTCGACTCTTTCGGTACAGCCCCAGTCGCCGCGTTTCGACGAGAAGGCAGGTTTTTGTCGGGTTCCTTTCAAAACGACGCAGCAATGCACGTCCCGCACGGTGACTTCCGCCCACAGCCCCAGACCGGAAGTGCGCTCGACGCGCCACCACCTCGCTGCAGCGTAGCAGGGTTGACTTCGTGTATACAGTGGAAACCAGCGTCGCCCAACGTCGAAGGCAGATTCGACCCAACGCAGTCTAAACTCTGAACACAAACATAACATTTTTTGTTTGTTTTGTTTTTAGGTTAGTGTCACGTCGCCTTCGGGGAAAGAGAGAGAGAGAAAAGAAAGGAAGGGGGGGGGGGGGGGCGGGATTTCGAAGATGCGAAGCGCGTTGGCGCATTGCCATTTGATACGTTCCCAGCACTGGATCGGCCGGGATTGGCTCGTGCTGTACACTGCGCTGCGTTGTAAGGTGAAAGAAAGTACAGCGCGGTTACAGAGAGGTGCGAAAGTCAGGGCTCGTCTGCCCGCCGCACCATCTTATCGTTTTTCCCTAGCCTTAGGGATAAAAAACAATCAAAATAGCAGCGATCCTGAACGCCAACATACACCGAGCACCGGTGCTTTTTTTTTTCTTCTCTCTCTTTCTCTTTCCTTTGATAGATATGAGCAGAGGCACATATACAAAAAAGACAGAGCATATAGTCTTTTTTTTTTGACGGGTGCGTCGAGTGTTTTTTGATTTTCCACCGCCTTCTCCTCTTCTCCCCGTCACTTTTGTTCGTAGCGGAAGCGGAAGGAAATGCTACTAAAACTGATTCCGGGTGGTTTCTTTTTTTTTTTTTTTTCTTTCAGGGAATCACTATATTTCGGAGGCGAAGAAGAAACACTGACGTTTGCCATCAGGTGTGCCCGGACCAAATCGCTGTTTACGAACATACCCACCTAAAAACCGCGGAGTCACACTGCTGGTGCAGCGTACGAAGCACACGCGAGTTGGCTGCACACAGAATAACAGAAACGGCTGCAGATATGTCTCGAGACATACTTACAATGCGTCTGGGGACAATTTCGAAACCACCAACCGGACAGTATCGTGACGCAAAGGAGGAACGCGCCTCAAACCTTGTCTAAAGAATACCCTTTTTGCACGAGAGATATAGAGGGGTGCGGACGCGGCTTAAACATTTTTGTTAACTATACTGCGAATGAAATCACGAGAAAAATTGCCGGAATTCTTTCTCGGCATGAGCTTTATGATCTAATGCATTATGGCGGAGCGAAAGAGAGACTCGTATCTTGGCCCTTAATGATTTTCAGCTTGCCCGCGCTTTCCGAGAAACGTTTATATTTTCCCTCTCATGCGTGACATAACGAGGGAACTTGACTCAGCGCATCCCTGCTGGTTTATTAAGAAACGCGGGACGTGGCTCTCATTAATGTTCACGCGTCTTGCTATCTTGCTTCATGATTTGTGCTTGGGAGTTCTTTTTCGGATAATGCTGGACTTTTATTGACTTAAGAGCAGTAATTAGATGCACGCAACTCGCCACACCCCGATGATTCTCCTTCCTAAGCCTGCAATATATAGCATTTTAAGATGTAATGGATAGTAGTCTGCGAAACGCTTAGCTTGTGAGGTTCGGCGTGTGTTCCCCTTTGAGCTGGTTGGAAATCCACTAACGATGACGTCATACATAGGCCTTGTCTTGGTGATTCGGGACTCCTCACCCGGGGGTGAAAAACGGGAGATCAGCGGGGTTTCGGCCACCGGCGGGGCACCGCGAAGCGCAGTGTACGGGTGGGCCAAGTGGGTTAATATATATATATATATATATATATATATATATATATATATATTATATATATATATTATTTTTTAATGA